AACCCTGAAAGTCAAGGAGAGCATTGACTACAGTATTTCAAATCCTAAAAGAAAACAGCCTCCGCAGGGCATGGTGGCTCATGCCTGTAATCCTAGAAGTTGAGAGGCTGAGACAGAAGAATCACTATGAGTTAGAGGCCAGTCTGGGCTACAAAGTGAGTTTGAGGCCAGCTTGAACTGCACAGTGAAACCCTTTCTCAAAAAGACAAAAAAGAAAAGAACAACCTCCAACACAGATTGATATATCCCACAAAACTATCTTTCAAAATTACTGAAGAAATAAGATATTTCCACGACAAGAAGCACTTGAAATTCATGACCACCAAACCAGCACCCTAAAATGTTCTGAAGGACATTCTAGAAAAACACAAGAAGTATTACAGCTCCATGAACCCCAAAAGAATGAATCTATCAGAAAATGCTAGCAATTAAACAGAGAGGGAAAAATGAGGAGGCAACAATAGGAAAATATTATAACAAGGATAAGTCGATAAATATCAATTATAACCATCAATATTACAGTATCAATTCACCAATCAAAAGAAACAGATTAGCAGAATGGATCAAGAAGCAAGATGGAAACAGCAGAGGTAACTATTCTATTTGCAGACTAAAAACAGATTTCAACCAAAGACTCATCATGAGACAAATGTCACTTACAATCCTTGTAAACAGAACAATCCAAGAGGAGATATATAAATATATATGTATCAAAAACCAGTGCACCCAAAATATATATAAAAACAGGGGCTGGGAATTTAGCTCAGCGGCATAAGCGCCTGCCTTGTAAGCAGGCAGTCGTGAGTTCGATCCCTGGTACCGATAAAAACGAAAAAGACAAAAAAAAAAAAAGTTACTGTGTTAAAGACAGCATGGAGAAAGATACTGTTTTTTTCTTTTTTCTTTTTTTTTTTTTTTTTTTTTTTAATGGAGAAAAGGCCTCACTGTGTAGTTCACGGTGGCCTTGAACTTATTCAAGTGGTAGAGGTTGGCTCCTCCTACCTCAGCCTCTCAAGTGCTGGAATTACATGTATGCATTACCATGCCTGGCTTGACAGACACACAATTTTTAAAAAATGATATCAACCTAAAGAATAAAATAAGTCCTTAATGGTACAAATAAGGAGAAGAGACAACTCCTTCTTACAGAATAATTCCATTTTATTAGTGTAAAGAAACAATAATACGTTCATTATTAGATTACTAACAGTAGAAGTCAGATACACTGGTATGTGTCACTATAATCCATCTATTCAGAAGGCTGAGGCAGGAGGATCACAAACTCAAAGCCAGCCTTGGCAACAGTGAGACCCTCACCTCAAAAATAAAGCTGGGCAGGGGCTGGGAATTTAGCTCAGCAGCATAAGCGCCTGCCTTGCAAGCAGGCAGTCGTGAGTTCGATCCCCGGGACCAATAAAAATGAAAAAGACCAAAAAACAAAATAATAATAATAAAAAAAATAAAGCTGGGTATGGTGGGGCATACACCTGTAATCCTAGCACTCAGGAGGCTAAGGCAAGATCATTACACTTTCAGGACCAGCCTGGGCTACAAAGTGAGCTCAAGGCCAGCCTGAACTGCAGAGCGAGACCCTGTCTAAAAAGACACTCCCCCCACAAAAAAAAAAAAAAATTGCTGCACTTTTCTCTAATAATACAGACTTTAAAGCAGATAAACAGACGTGGCAAAATGTTAACAATCAGAGCCGGCCAGAGCTGTCATAGAGCTATAAATGCTAGCAACTCAGAAAGTGAGAGGGGGCTGGGGATTTAGCTCAGCGGCATAAGCGCCTGCCTTGCAAGCAGATAGTCGTGAGTTTGATCCCCAGTACGGATAAAAAAGAAAAAGACAAAAAAAAAAAAAAAAGTCAGGCAAGATGGTTGGCAAGTTCAAAGACAACTTGGACAACTTAACCCAATTCTAGGGCCCAATTCTGCCTCAAAACAACAACTGAAATAAAAACCAAAAGGATGGGAATTGAGATGTAGCTCTGTAGCTCAGTGATATAGCGTTTACCTACCATGGTAGAACCCCTGGGCTCCATCCTGAGCAGCATGAAATGTTCGTAGTTGGTGAAAACTGAGTAAACAGTACACAGTTCTTTGTATCATTTTTGTGACATTTCTATAAATTTAAAACTATTTCAACATAAAAAGTTTCTAAAGAAGAGGGCTTGCAGGCTAATTTTAACAGATTATCCAACATCCTTATAAAAACAAAATAATTGATCAAATATATACTAATCTAGGGGCTGGGGATTTAGCTCAGCTGCATAAGTGCCTGCCGTGCAAGCAGACGGTCGTGAGTTCGATCCCCGGTACTGATAAAAAGGAAAAAGACAAAAAATATATACATATATACTAATCTTGTGGCATCATAAATAAGGGCCATCCTTAAAAGTAAAACAAAGAACTACAAATGTTTTCAACTCTAGGAAAGTAAACCACGGGAGCTGGGGATTTAGCTCAGCAGCATAAGCACCTGCCTTGCAAGCAGGCAGTCATCCCCGGTACCGATAAAAAGGAAAAAAAACAAAACAAAACAAAAGCAAACCACTACAGTTTAAGGAAACAAATCAATTGGGCTGGGGATTTGGCTCAGTGGTGTAAGCACCTGTCTATCAAGCACAAGGTTATGGGTTTAATCCCCAGCACCAAAAAAAAAAAAAAACCCAAGTATTATAACAAAATTAGCCCATAAACTCCACTGAAGAGATTAATAAATGTGTGAAATCAATAACACTCTCAGAAATACTTTTTTAAAAAAAAGCAAAATGGTTCAATTAATAATTTTTTCCCCTTGCTGATACTAAAGATTAAACCCAGGGCCTCACTGTCTGCTCGACAAGTGACTCTACCACTGAACTACATTCCCAGCCCAATGTAATATACTTCTTTAACTGGCAGCAGTAGGAAGTGAACCAAGAGTACAGTAATCTATACCCCAGCTTATGTGTGTATATAAAAGGAAAGCAGTAAATATTTGAAACAATGACTACAAAATTCCCTAAATTAATGTCAGATGCTAGTTCAGAAATTCAGAAAGCATAGAAGACAAAACAAGACTAATAGTACAAAAATTGCACTTAAGTATACCATATTCAAACATCAAATGATAAAAAACTTCCAAAAGAAGTCAGAGTAAAAAGCAAATTATCTTTTTGGGGGAACAAATATTAAGACTGACATCTGTCTTCTCAGAATTATACAAGCAAAAACATCAGAATTAAGAATATAAAACATCCATAGGAGAAACACACATACACACATGCACACCCAGAAATCGGTACTCTGCAAAATGGTCCTTCAAAAGTAAATAGAGCAGAGCCCAGTGTGGTGGTGTGCATGTATAATGGAGGCTCAGGCAAAAGGACCATAAAGGTTTTGTCTTGTTTGTTTTTTGAAACAGGATCTCATTATGTACAACAGGTTAGGCTTAAACTCACTATGTAGTACAGGTTAGCCTTGAACTAAGAGTGATCCTCCTACCTCAGCCTCCCAAAGTGATGAGATTACAGGCTTGTGGCACCATGCTCCACAGGTAAGTTTTTTTTTTTTTTTTTAAATCTTTTTATCAGTACCAGGGCACAACCGCCTGCTTACAAGGCAGGTGCTTATGCTGCTGAGCTAAATCCTCAGCCCCTACACAGGTAAGTTTTAAAACTACCTTTGTAATTTGAGACCAGCCTAAACTACACAGCAAACTATCTCAAAAGAAAATAAGACAGGCAGAGTGTCAGATGCCTATAATTCCAATTACTCAGCTGGCTAAGCAAAAAGGTTACAGAATCAAAATAATCTTGGCAAAAACTTCTCTCAAAAAATAAAAGGGACTGGCACTTGACATTTACTGTGTTTCATCTCTGCTATAAAAACCAGTTATCAAGGTATCAGAGTCCCTAACAAAATAAAAATAAAAGGGCTGGGGAAACAGCTCAGTGGTAGAGCTCTTGCTTAGCATGTGTACGGAAGGTCTAGTACCAGTCCTCAGTACTGGGGATACATATACAAATATGCCAATCTCAGCAACCAGAGAGAAAAACTGTTAATACGCTTCTATTAAGTGAAACAGTATAACATTTGGAAGTAAACTTAAGGTCTAGTACCAGTCCTCAGTACTGGGGATACATATACAAATATGCCAATCTCAGCAACCAGAGAGAAAAACTGTTAATATGTTTCTATTAAGTGAAACAGTATAACATTTGGAAGTAAACTTGGTTTAATCTTTAATGGATATTACAAATCCTAAGGCTACCACTAAAAAAAAAGGAAATATATAACTGACAAATGAAAGAATCAAACATAAAACGCTCAATTAAAACTATAAAAGGAAAGGGTCAGGGATTTAGCTCAGTGGTTTAAGTGTCTGCCTGGCAAGCATGAAGTCGCAAGTTCAACCCCCAGTACGAAAACAAACAAAAAAACCTAGAAAAACTTATATAAAAGAAAAAAAAACAAAAAAGAGCCAGGCACAGTGACATACGCCTGTAATCCCAGTATTTAGGATACCAAAAAGATTTTAAAAAAAAAAAAAAAAAATGCATGCTGTGTATAAGAAACTTACTTAAAAGCCAGACATAGCAGTATCCTTCTATAATCACAGCACTTAGAGCAATTGATGCAGTAGGATCCTAAGACTGAGCCCAACTTAGGCAACTGTACAATTCAGCAAGACCCTATCTCAATTGTTTATTTTTATTTTTGGTACTGGGAATCCAACTCACAATCTGCACTAGCCAGGTAAGTGCTTATATCACTGAGCTATATCCCTGGCTCTAAAATTTAAAAAATGGTTAGGAATATAGCTCAATGAAAAGGCACTGGGTTGAATCCCCAAAACACACACAGACTTTTACTGTTTCCTAAATACAACTAGGGAAATATTTGTTACTAACTAGTAATGATAAGGCTATTAACTGATTTATCAGTTAATCCTAAAACTAGCAAATTAATCACATTCTAAGTAAAATCTCAAAATATCACTCAACATAGACTTACCCAGGTTTCCTTGTTCAACTGTCAGCACCACTTCATCCATCACCACAGCCCTAAAGTCCAGTTCCTCCTCACAACATTTGGCCTTCAAAGCTCGTAAGATCTCTTTTTGGGGGTAATCTTCCCTGATGCGACGATCTGTCAAAAACCACAATTTGGCAGCCACAGAGCTACACATCTTGATCCACTTGTTCTTCTTTCTCTGGATTATTTCCTCTTGAATATAAACTCTACCTAAATGTAAGAGAAAAAAAAAAAATATATATATATATATATTTATATGTATGTATATGTATATATACATACACACAATGTAAGTTAAGAAACCTGATTGACTTCTGGATTCCAAGCAATTAACTATACAAATAAGAAAAAAGTGAAGAAATACTATTATTTTTTCCCTTTACTGAAATTAGAACCTGTATATTACTAAAAATATGGGAACTAGCAACCATTGCAGAAATAAAATACTTCATTTCCCTACTCACGAAAACTATCTTAATAACTTATAGCAGGGCACTTAGTTGGAACTTTCAATACCATATCCTATATTAATATTGCCTAGATAGAGCATTTGCCTGGCAAGTGTGAAGTCATGAGTTCAAGTCCCACTACCAAGAAAAAAAGAATGCCTAGGCATATACTTTAATGTCACCTACTTTTCACTATGCTATCCCTTGAAAAGCAGGGTTTTTTGCTTTTGTTTTTGGTACCAGGGATTAAACTCATGACTGTGTGCTTACAAGACAGGCACTTAGGCCTGCTGAGCTAAATCCCCAGTCTGAAAAGCAGTTCTTCTTGATATGAAACAAATGAAGTTCCAATCAAGATGCTCCACCTCACTCATCATTGAACACTCTAAGTACTTTTTTGTATCTGTAGCTATTTTTATGTCAATTCTCTTCCTTTGTTTTGATAGTTATGTAGAAAATAAGATAGCAGAACTTATATTGCTAGATAACCAAATAACATCATTTATACAGTAATATTAATGAAAATACACTGGAGTTGTCTATTTCAGTCAGAGCACAGTATGGCTACTTGTTTGTAGAACAAACAAGTTCTTTAAAGAGAAGTTTGAGGGCCAGGGATTTAGCTCAGTGGCATATGCACCTGCCTGTCAAGCACAAGGTCACGGGTTTGATCCTCCCCAGTACCCAAAAAAAAAAAAAAAAAAAAAAAAAGGAAAAAACAAAATAGAAGTCTGAAATAGTTTACTACAATGCAAAATAAGACTTTATAAAAAAATATTTTCTTTAAGGATATAGTCCCCACGTCTGAGTTTGTATCATGAGTAAACAACAGTTGAAAGTAGTCTTCCTGAGAAGTAAAAAACTAAAAGTTTGCGAAGGGAAAGTTTTTAAAACCTATTTTTACCATAAAAAAAAAAGAATCACAAAATTTCAAGTACAGTACAGCTGTTTTTCACCCTTGATATTGGAGTAGGGGTGTCACCTAGCCCAGAACCCCATGGCTGGTCTACACCACTTCACCCCCAGCCCTGATGTTTAAGTCCCTTATATAAAATGGTACAGTATTTTCCTGAGTAGTATACATCCTCCTGAACACTTCAAATCCCCTCTGTACAGTATTATTTAAATATAATGTAAACACTACATAGTGTTATACTGATTTGTTTATGGAATAACAAGAAATTGTATATACTTATTACAGACATAATTTTTTTCCAAATATTTTCAATCCAAGGTTGGCTGAAACCATGGATGCTAAACTTATAAATACCTAAGGCAAATTATTCAAGTATTATTCTAGATCAGGAATTTAGCTTAGTGACATAAGCATCTGCCTGGTAAGTGCAGGGTTGTGAGTTCCATCTCCATACCAAAAAAAAAAAAAACGAGGTATTATTCTAGATGACGTTTGGAAAATCTAACAGAAAAAAGGCAAAAGATTAGAGGAAAGCAAAGATTGATCAATGGCCTCCTGAACAGCAGTAGCCGGAACGTGTTGTCCAGGTGCCCTTCATCACTCTCCCAGGTATCAATTAGAAGGATCTGCTCCACAGAGGATATGGTACAATCAGGGCCATCAGTCCACACTCCCTGCACCTTGTCCTTCCATGCCTGCCACTCATACCCCCTACTCCACTCCTAACTGAACTACCCTGCAATACACTTCCTCAAGGGCACAAGGCCCTAGTGTCAAATAAGCAAGATATCTAGATATAGTAACCAAACTGGTACACATGTAGCAAGGAACCAATGCTAACAATGCCATGCTCTTTTCACTTCTGGTCAATTTGTAATCTACAAATTTTACTACTTGTATAGTAGTTTGTAGTATTTAAAATCTCATTAGAAATTCAGCACACTGATATACAGCTTTAAACCCAACACGTAAGAGGCTGAAATACGAAGATACTGCAAATTTTAGGCCAGCCTATGCTACATTGAGACCTTGTCTCAAAAATTGCATTAGAACATAATTAACAGATCCATAAAAATAAAATATATGCAAAATCCTATGGTCTTCCCTAGAGCAAAAGAGTCTGTACAGCATACAAATTGTAAATTCTTGTTCTCTTTTCCTTAAACAATAGAATGTTTTTTCTAAAAGTTTTTCTCCTATGAAACTTTTCTTGACAAAATTTTAATCAGCTGTGGAGGAAAAGATTCAGGGCAAACCTGTATTATGATCATCTAAACTGGATGGAAAAAACAAAAATTTTTCTCTTAGGTTGTGCCACAATTTCTTTCCTGCGTCCCTAACCAGGGATTATACCCACAGAGACATAGGATTTGGTACAAACGTGCATTAGCAATAGCACCTAGGGTGTTCCAGGCTCAAGAGGGCTCACTCAGAAGGTAAAGAACCACAAAAGAAATCATCACAGCACAGTATCTATAGAAAATCCTTGGTTTCTCTTAAGGGAAGAACTAAAAAACACAAATGCCCTTAATATGTTTGTATTGCCTAAGTGTCACACACCTGTAATTCCAACTATTCAAGGGGCTAAGAAAGGAGGATTGCAAATCTAAGATCAGCCTGGGCAACTTAACAAGTCTGTCTCAGGAAAAAAAAAAAAAAAAAAAAAAAAAGGATGGAGATGTAGCTTAAATGGTAAAGTATCTGCCTGGCATGTACTAGCTCCTGGGGCAGAAATAGCAAGGTGTTGCAAGCAGGCAGTTGTGAGTTCAATCCCCGGTACAAATAAAAAGGAAAAAGACAAAAAAAAAAAAAAAGAAAAGAAAAGAAAAAGAAAGAAAGAAAAAGAAATGGCAAGGTGAAAACACCATAAAATGAAGTGGAAAAAAACAAGAAGAATGCATTCAACAGTTTCAAAATCTGTCACTGACTGCCAAAACTCTGAAGTCTTTCAGTACCCCCCCTCACTCTTGGTTCTTGAGGCTTTCACCTAAGTGTGGCAGTTGCTGCCCCAACAGCAGTCAGACCATGTTTCAGACACAAGACACTTCAGCCACCAAGAAGCAGAAATGTTCTGCCAGTACTAATACTTCAGATGTCTAGAAACTACATTAGACCATCAAAGTTAACCCAACAAGATGCTTCTAGTCCCTCTGTAATCAAACAGTAAAAATACTCCCTCACCAACTTGAATCATTCTGGACTATCATAACGCTAGTAGAAGATGCCAATGATGCAGTCCGTGGGGACTGCAGTTCTTGGCTTGCTCTTATATCCCAGGAAGGGAAATGGGTATATTGTGTTCCTTATGTACTCCAGACACTACATGCAATGTATGCCTGCCACTCAAAGATTTACTGTCAACATCTCACAATTCTAGTGAGTCTTAATTTTCCTCCTCATCAGAAAAGGATTTCCTGACTTTGGGTAGCAGTTGCATGATTTTACTGCTGGCATTTACATTTGGAACATTTACAAGACTTAATGCACTTTTTGGTGGATGGGGCTGTTACGGATCCAACTGGCCAGAAGCAGGTAGGGCACAGAGATGATCAGGACTGCAAGTTCATGCAGCAATTCCTGACAGATGATGCACCTAACTATGTCATTTGTCTGGCTTGTTATCCTTCTGACACTTTTTTTTTTTTTTTTTTTTTTTTTTTTTTTTTTTTTTTATGGCTATACTTCTTTTTTTGTACCAGGAATGAAACTCACAGCCTTATGCTTGCCAGGTAGGCGCTTATGCCGCTAAGCTAAATCTCTGGCAACTTCTGACACTTTTGCTGTTTTTTTTTTTTTTTTTTTGAGACAGGGTCTGTGTAATCAGAGTGGCCTTGAATTCCCAGAGATCCTCCTGCCTCCACCTCCTAACTGCTGGGATTTCATGTGTACATTATGATTGGCACTTCTGACATCTGAGGACAGTTAGCTGTTTCTATATGGTCTGCAGCCAGCTAAGGTTCAGATCTGGCTTCCCATTTCCCTTTTCTTAAGGTGAAAACTGAGCAATGTCAGTTTTCTTTTTTCAATTCTTTTTATTACTGCCTTTTTCCAATCAAATGTATATTAAGTTTGGGGGAAGTATACTTAACATGCCTAATTCTTTTCATTCTTTCCTCCTGTCCCACTCCCATTTCCATTTGCAAAGGATTTATTTTCCTGCTTCCTATCATTGGTCCTTTTCTTCATTATTTATATTTGGGGTCTCATACAAGAAAAGTCATGTGATATTTAAGCTTTTAGCTGAATTATTTCAGCATGATGGTTTTTAAGGTACATACATCTTCCTACAAGTGACTCAATTTCATCTTTCTTTACAGCAGAATAGTACTCTATTGTGCATAAATACTTCTTCTTAATCAATTCATCTGCTGGGGCTGGGGATTTAGCTCAGCGGCATAAGCGCCTGCCTTGCAAGTCGAACACACGACTGTGTGTTCGATCCCTGGTACCGATAAAAAGGAAAAAGACAAAAAAAAAAAAAAGTAAAAAAAATTCAATTCATTTGCTGATGGACACATAGGCCACTTTAAGCTTCAGCTATTATGTATGACATGTACCACTATAAACATGGATATGCATGTACCACTTGCAATATGTCTTAACTTTTTAAGGAAGATACCAAGGGGAACAGATGAATCAAAATGGAATTCCTCACTTTCATTTTTTAAGGAATCTTCATACTGATTTCCAGTGGGTATACCAGTTTACAGTCCCACCAACAATGTAGAAAGATACGATTTTCCCTATAGTTTTGGCAGTATTTATTATCTTAATTTTGATGATAGCCATTTTTCCTGGAATAAGACAACACCTCAATGTTGTTCTGGTTTTTCAAGAAAAGATCT